GGACGGCCAGCTGCGCCGGGCCCGAGATCTGCAACCCGCCGATGGCCGCGCCACGGACGAAAACCAGAACGAATAGGATGAGAATGAAGGTCTCGTCATGTCGTCTGAAGTCCTCAGTAGGCGCGATCCTTCTATACCGCTTCGTGCTGTCGAATATCAAGACGCCAAGACTGTGCGTAGGAATTTGACGGAGAAGCCAAATAAACGCGCCCATCATAGCAACAATGAGTGTCACTGCGAGTGACGTATGGTATGCTGGCAAGAAGGAGGCGTGATCCAGCTGATAAAAGGAGAGGGCCGCCAAGGGCAACATGAAGTACGACAGTATGATTCGAAGGACACGGCTGAAAGTGTGTCGCAAGCCGACAGTTGATTCAGAAACCTCGCCATCGGAATTTCGGTGACGGTTCACGAGCCACACGACCTCGATCACCACGGCGCAGCCGATAGCAACAATCACCATGAGAACCACCATATTGATCCAAGTATCCATCGTCATGGGAGCACCTGCAATTTGGGTCATCAACTCCAGACCAAATGTACCGCCATACGTGCCATTCATGACGTAAATTCCATCCTGGACTTTGTTATAAGTTACCCCGTGTGTAACAGGCCCAACCACGAAAAGCGAGAACCAATTCAAGTTGCTGACCACAGGCTGATAGAAGCCAGGATACCGGAGGCTGAGCCCACCAGTCAGGAAGACAAATTGGATGTACTGCAAGCAATCGCCGACGTTCGGAAGGACCGTCCGTATAGAACGCTGTTCCTCGTCGAACGTCACTGGGGCACTGTAGACGGAGCGCAGGATGCCGACAAGAAACACGAAGAGGAAGATGCCCCATGCCATGTAGCCAATTGCAGATATCGTGGTCGGATCGAGCGTAGGAGTTATGTTTGCTTGTCGGCAGCTGATCTCTTCGGAGTCGTTGCTCTGCAGATGCAGCGTCGCATGGAATGTCGACAATGGAGGCAGGCGGCCAATATCGGTTTCAAAGTTGACGTGCAAACTCGCCGGGTTTCGCATGGTCGACTTCTGGCCTTTGGCAAAGTTGAGCTTCGCGCATGTCGTTTTAGTCTTTGCGCTGAAGGCCGATGATCGTCCCAACATCTGGATTTCTAGAGCCGCTGCGGGCATCATTCGGGCGATTTCCTCGCATTCTTCTTCTTCGATCCATCGCCCTACCCGAAATGATAGGCGCTCGTCTCCGTCATCTAGTTGTCTTAACTTCGCATCGAGGCTCGTAGGGGCGAAAGGATCGTTTCTGGATGAGACTTCGTCGCAAGTTTGCCATTGAACATAGGCACCAGAGGCGTAGCTGGCCAGCAGCCCTACGATGCCAAGGCGTGCCAGCATCACCACACCTTCCTGACCTCGTTTGCGATTCCCGAGACAGGCAACAAAGGTGAGCGACAGCGCTTCTTCTTCAGCGCATCAGTGACATTCGCTGCAAGCCCCTCAATAATGTGGTCGTTGAAGATGATGGGGGCAAGACTGATCGTAACCAACGCAGCAGACGAAGAACTTCCATCTTTTTTCTGAACATAACCAGTGGATCCAAGGCATTGACTGCATTGCCGAGGACGCTAGTCCTCAGCCTGCTCGTATTCTACTGTAAAAGGGGGTCTTTTCTATGCGGATCCCCCTGACTCGCGGGTCCGCCGAACGTCTTTTTGCGGGGATATGCTGGCGTTGCAGATGCTCACGAGGCTCTACTGACTGGCGCTGAAAGAGCACACAGGTGGTTCGATCCACTGACAGGTCTCCTAGAGAAATCTGCAACGCCAGGGTCCTGATAATTCCCGATGGCCTCCGCGTCTTACACGGAGCCGAGTCCCGGTGATGGACGTGTCGGCGGTTCGACAGGTGGATGTGGTGCGGACACAAGCTGATCCTGTGTTAGCCATCGAAGAACCAAATCAGAACTGGCAAAAGCGCAGCCATAGGGGACAAGGGCTAACGTTGTATGTCGTGGAACCAAACGCCGACAAAACATTGACGAAAAGGGCAGAGACGCCGCTGAATCGATGGCAACCGGCGCATTGCGCTAGACTGGTAGACCTGGAGGCCGACGGGAAGAGTTTTTTTTAGGGTGCCGGCAGATGGAACGTTTCCCGTCATCTCCTATTTTTAGGCGCTTAGCTAGCGTAGAAAGTTTTCCCTTCTTTCGCAAACCAACAGCAGGTTACTGACGGATATTTGTCGATGCAAAAAGCCTCCAATGGCCAGGAACGTTGATCAGGTCAATCCCCACCAAACGGACTTCGAGACCTACGAGGGCGAAGCTGTGGATCTTGGGGGCTGAAGCAGCGCATGCCACTCAACGTCTTCCTCGTTGAGTGCACGTGGGATGCAACTAAGGGGAACCAGAGAATTCGGCCAGGTTTAACCATGACGCAGTCCATCTCTCGATGACGAGGGAAGCTGTGTTTTTGTTCATGGTGCTCAGACTCCAGAGAGGACGATGGTCTAGAATCGGCATCGCGACCGCCGTCAAGTGTGTTAGTGGCGGCTACCCAGGCGCGCCGTGCCCAACATGCCGCATCGTTGGTCCGTGGATTGCCGATCTATTTTTTATGAACGAAGTTTGTCAGTTGGGGGCCAACCAACAGTTGTCCTTGTTGTTTCGTAGTTCTCGAGGCTCTTGAAGGCGAATTCGGGCAAGATGAACAAAGAAGAGGGCGTGTGAGGAAACCGCGGGCGGTGATGGTGGTGGACGATTGCCAAGGGAAGACTGAAGGGATGGGATGACAGGAGACCCGACGAGCTGGTTTGGACGAAGCGATGGGATGACCGGTATCTGGTGCAGGCTGTCTTTGCACTGCAGCAGCTCAGGCACCAGACGCAGGGAGAGAATCGGCCGTGCCGTGCCTTGGGCTCAAATGCCCAAATCGACTTTGGAGACAGGGAGGTGTGGTGCGTTGAGGCGGAGGACGCGAGAGCCAAGTAGGCAGTCGTACGAGAGCAGGTTATCGCGGTGAGTCCAATGTTTGGGATCTATCGCGATCCTTGTGTCGTGGCGGAACAGGTTCAAAAGCAAGCGTCTCTCAGCTTGGCGTCGAGCAGAGGGAGCATCGGTAATGTCGGCATCGAATATAAGTAGGGATGGGGAGGTTGATCATCATCTCTAGACGGATGGATGCGGTTTGTTCTCGTCGACTGCGGCGAGATGCATGTTGGAGGAAGAGCGAGACCAAAAAATGCCAAAGGAGAAGGAGACGGAGGGGGGAGGCTGTCATCACCCAATTCAGCAAGAGGGAGGGGAAAGAGGAAACCGACAGGCACTTGCCTCTGCAGTCGCGACGCAGGTACGGCCGCCACCCCACCCCTTCTACATATGGAAGGGCTGCCTACAGAACGACGGAAGGGACGCCCTAGACACAGCGAGGATGGAAAGAGCACACCTCGAACATGGCAGTGGCGAGCTGAAGGTGCCTGCCCTCCTGCCTTCTTCCTTTGCCAGATCGCGATGGCACCTGACCTCAGTCGCAGAATGCAATAGTCGGGTTTGCGAGCATCGATGGCATCGACAGTCCACAGCTTACACCCCTGTCTTTCCAACGTCATCATTCTCTGATTTGGATTAATGCCAGGAGGGCCCGGTGCAGCGAACGACCACTAACACAACCATATTTTCAACCGTATTTCTTGCGTGCTTTAGCGGCGAGCTGCCTTCGGTCGAGCCCACCTTCCGTGTGCCTTCCGCCCTTGCATCGTGCTGCAGGTGCTGGTGCTGGAAGGTGCAGGTGCACCCGAGTGCTAGAGCGCTCCTTCCGTGCAGAGTGCAGACGGGCCTGCCTGCAGGTGATGCTGCTCGCTTAAGTAAACACCTGACTCCATCAAGACTAGCGCCCGACGCCCCCAATCTCTTCCCCAAGCTGCATTCCCTGCTCATCGGAGCTTGTTCCACCCTCCCGTCCGTACCTTAGTGTTGGCTTCGTTTTTCGGAGCCCCTTCAATCGACTTTGTTTCTTCTGCATGTCTTCGACGTGCCCACCCCACGGCAGATCTCGTCCTGCCCAGATCCAACATGCCTTGCAAACAATGTCAACCCAATCTACTCGTGGCGACTAGTTGCCGGGCGTCGGAGAGATACTTGGCCGACCAAGACAACAAAGCAATTGAATCACATCCATCTTGGCCTCCGGCCCCGGCTCCGTGCAGCCACGCACCCCAGGCATTCCATCCATGAGATGCGCCTTGTGAAGGACCACTGGGCTAATTATTGGGCAGTCTGCCAGCTTCGCCTTGTTTGTTGAAGCACACCACCATCGCATCATCCCTTGCTCGCCGCATGGCTTCCATCCGCCAGCCTGGATGCCCTATGTCTCGCCAACTCCCAAGGGCACAGTCCCTCCCTTGCTACGGATGCACAACACTCGGCTCCCGGTTCCTGACTTCGCTCCGCTGGGCTCTGGGCTTGCGCCTGTGCTCATTGCTGTTTTGGACGCTTCTCTCCGACTCTGACCTGGCGTTTACATACTGTGCCAGAGCTAAGAGAAAAAGCTCCCCTGCTTCCACGCTCGGCATGCCTTTCCCGCCTTCCCTGGATTGTCTCGGGCGTCTTCAATATCTCGCCCTAATCAAACAAGCCTAGGCTTGCGCACCATCCCTTCACAACCTTCCTCCACACGCACGACTGCCAGCTCGCCAAAACCATGCGAGTAACCACTTTGGTCGTGCATGAAGCGCATGTTCTGCGCCTACGCCCAGCTTCGATAGAGAAGCTCTAGCTCGACCCATGGACTAGGTTAATGTCGGCCGCGACGGAAGGGCCGCGGCTGTGCCCCCCATCTGGCGTGTTGAGGGGTGCCATGCTCTTGGCTAAGAATCTTGGCCATCATGGTTTTTGTTTATTATCTCGCCCGAACCCAGGTCCTCATCATGTCCTTCTCAAGTGCCACGCTCTCTTTACTTCCTCAAGGCACCTCTTGGGTTTTCTTCTGTGTGTCCAGGCAGACATTCCGTCCCTCTTTCTTTCCCTTCTTAGTCTGCCAGGATGAGGTTGTCCATTGGAGTGCTGGCTTCATTGCCAGCACTGGTAGCTTCGCTGGCCTCCACCGATTCATACCGTGATGCTGTAAGTTGTGGTCCTCCTTCAAAGTCACAAGTTCCGTGTTTGATTTGTACCAACTGCGATGGGATGTGGGCTGACGACATGCTACTATAGGATTTGCCCCAATCGGGCTATCTCCCTAACCACAACCTTGACCCAAACATTGCCGGTTCTTCAAGCTTCAGAAACTTATGGACTTTCACTTCTCCCGACAGCAAGGAGTTCTGGTTGGCCAAGCCATTGGTCTACACACCCGAGGGGGGCACCGAGCTCGTCATTACCGCCTCCGAGATGAACATCATTCGTATCTTCGATAGTAAGACCGGAAACATCCTGAAGCAGAGAACTCTCCAGGCCCCGTTCTCCGCTGCTGACAGCAACTGCGGCGACATCCCGAACTGGGTCGGCATCACCGGTACCCCTATCATCGATCCCGCGACAAGCATCATGTACGTCTTCTCCAAGGGCTACCGAGACGGGACCACTTCCGGCACAGCCAACGGTGTCTACAAGATGTACGCCATTCGTATTCCCTCGCTCGAAGATGTCGACAAATTCCCCGTCCTGATTGACGGTATAAATGCCGATAACGACCCAGCCAAGTACTTCGTCGGTGGCGTGGCCCTGCAGCGACCCTCTCTAGCCGAGCTCAACGGCCACATCGTCGCCGCATTCGGCTCTCACTGTGGTCGCTGGAACTACACTGGTTATCTCGTGTCCGTCAGTAAGACACCTGGCGTGGGCCCAGTGAGCATGTGGGCCACGGAAGCTGCTCCTGGAGCTCCAAAGCCGCAGCCACTTGATCTCGAAACCGAAACGGGAGGCAAAGCAGGTATATGGCAGAGTGGCATGGGTTTGCCCGTCATCGGCAATAATGTCTATTTCGTGGCAGGCAACGGTCAGGGGCACGCCAACGGAAACGTTCCTGCCAGTGGCAGAATCTACATGTCCACCCTCGACGAGTGCACCGTAAAGATGGAGGTAGCGTCGACCGGAAAACTGAGTCTCATCGACTACTTTCAGCCATATGACTACATTGGTTTGGATGCTGGTGACCGCGATGTCGGTTCTTCGGGACTTGCCGTCCTGGATCCAACCGTTTTCAAGGGCACCGGCGTCAACCGAATGTGCGTTACGGCTGGGAAGAAGGGCAGAGCCTACATCATGAACGCCGACAACCTCGGCGGTTTCAGACAGGCGGCTGACGGCGGCGATGGCATTATCCAGACAATTGAGCTTGGCTTTTCATTGTACGGCGGATTCGGCAGCTACCCTGGCGAGGGCGGTTACATCTACGCGACCACTGTTGGTGGCCCGCTTGTTGCGTACAAGCTTGGTTTCGACGCGAAGGGTGCGCCTCAATTCACTCTTGCCGGCAAATCAGCCTCCTTCGTCGGAGCTGGTCGCGTTGGTGTCGGACAAATGACCATTACATCAGACAACGGCAAGCCTGGCACTGGCATTGTAAGATCCCCCTCACTCGTTGACGTCCATTGACTTTGACTAACACCCGACAGGTCTGGGTTGCGGATGTCAACGTCGGTCTCCAAGCTTTCCGTGCCGTTCCCCAGGACGGCGTCATGGTTCCCATCACTTTGCCCTCCACTCAAGGTAGCAACAAGTTCCAACGTCCGGTCTTTGGTGATGGCCGTGTGTTCATGAACGTCAACAACAATAGGCTTGTGGCGCTGGGATCTCCCGTCAACCCTGCTGTCAACTGCACCAGCCCAGTGGACTTTGGGTCTCTCGAAGCTGGTTCCACCGCCAGCGTGACTGTCAACTGCAAAGCCAACGTCGCTCTTACCAAGGTCAATGGTTGCACCGCTGCGGACCCGACTTTTACTTGCTCCAACTCAACTCTACCCCAGGGTGCAGTCGCTGCAGGAGCATCTTTCTCCTTGAACGTCACTTGGGACCTCTCCAACCCGGCCGTTCCGATTGTGCCTGGAGTGCTTTCTAGCGCCGTCACGCTCTCCATCAGCCCTCCTGCCGAGTACGCTACTAGTGTGCTGGTATCTGTCCAAGGCACTGTCGTCAAGCAGGGCGCCTTTCTGAGCGCCACGCCATCGGATATCGCTTTCGGTAGATTGGTTCTCCGTGACGCCCCAGAAGGCCTCACGGGGTCTGCTCTCATTCAAAATGTTGGCAACGGCACCTTGACGTTCACCGGCTTCGCCTGGCAGACGAACACTAGCGACTACGCCAACTTTACGAGTGATGGCGGGCTTGGCTCTGGTTTCTCATCTACAAACTTCCCGACCGTTGGTTCCACTCTTGAGTCCGGAAAGAGTTTGACTGTCGCCTTGCGCTTCTTGAAGGAGACACCTGGATCATACTTGTCAAAAATCACCATCTGGTCCAACGGAGGAACTGCTGTGCTCACTTTAAGTGCTTCCGTCAACGACCCGCCTGCAGTTTCGTTCGAGGTTTCCAATGGCTCCGGTGGCTGGACTGTGCTGTCAAACTACACTGTTTCATACGGCAACGTGGTTGCAGGAGGCCTTGTCGACAAGCAAATCAGGGTCTGCAACAAGGGCGATGCCCCTCTGACGATCACCATTTCCAAGCCTCCCGCCACCTCGCAGCTCTTCGCCCTGAACCCTAACAATGAGCTCACTGAGGGAACGCAAGTTGTCGGCGGTAGCTGCTCCATTGGAAGCGTTGGTATTCATGCCGCACCTGTTCAGCCGAACCATCCTGCCCAGGCTTTACGTGCCACGTGGACTCTCAGCACCGACGGTCTTAATTCAACCACCGGCGAGGTTTCGGGCCGCCACGACATTGTGTTCGAGGGTACCGTTGTCAGCAAGCAAGTCGGGCCTCTTCTTACCAACGGCACTGCCAAATACCAATATGTCGGATGCTTCAAGGATACCACCAATTTAGGCCGCAATCTTCAGAACTCTGTCAACACTGCTGCTCAACAAAAGACGAATACGCTGCAGCAGTGCCAGGGAATCTGCAACGACAGAGGATTTGCCCTATCTGGTGTCCAGTACCACCAAGAATGTTGGTGCGGTTCCAGCATTAAGAATCCCTCTACGTACGAGGACGAGTCCCTCAATCTGTGCACTTTCGATTGCACTGGAGATGACACTCAAGCATGTGGTGGCGACAACGGGCACATGAGCTTGTACGCCGATATCACATCATTCGACATTGCTGGTTTCTACCAGTCCCTCAAGAACCCCAGCTCTAGCTCATCTCTGCCAGCATCAACGAGATCCTCCACCAGAGCATCGTCCGCTAGCAGCGTCCCTCCCGCCTCCTCTGTGGCATCCTCCTCGGCTGTCACTAGCTCTGCAGCCGCCGCGAGCAGCGGTGGTTCCGGCACAACTGCGACTTCGTCGTCATTGGTGTCCAGTGCTTCATCTGGTGCCTCAAGCTCAAGCAGCACGGCTTTCGTCTCGACAATCACCCCCACTTCCACGACTTCGAGCAGTGCGACTCCATCTGCAACATTTGTCGCGTCACCCCTCAACCCTCAGATGCCTGCTATCATCGGCGGACAATGGCAATACGCTGGGTGCTTCAAAGACCTTGTTAACGGCGAGAGACTCTTCCAAGGGGCGTCTTCTGCCTCAGACGACATGAGCTTAGCCAAGTGCGCTGCATTCTGCAGTACTGGTGCGCCAGGTGGTGGAGCCTTCAACTACTTTGGTGTCGAGTACGGCCGCGAATGTTACTGCGGCTGGGATGCGCAAGCTGCCAAGATGTCAACTTCAGAAGCCGAATGTTCTTCACCTTGTGCGGGTTCCACCCTCGGTCTGTGTGGTGCCGGCTTCCGCCTTTCGGTTTACAACAACACAATCCCCAACCAAGCACCGTCCCAACCCCAGCACGCTGCACGAGCAGGCGACTACGAGTTCCTGGGATGCCAGACCGAAGGCGTCAACGGACGCGCTTTGTCAGGGGCTTCCTTCGGCTCGGCAGATATGACAACTAAGGCTTGCGCCGCCTTCTGCGCGAAGGGCAACTTCCAGTACATGGGGGTTGAATACGCTCAAGAGTGTAGGTTTCGTGTCTCGTGCTTACTAGACGTTTTCTAACAATGATATCAGGCTGGTGCGGAAGTGCAACCAACGCAGGGTCGGTCCCGGCTCCGCTGAAGGAGTGCGATATGCTCTGTCGCGGCAACCAGGTTAGTCTACTTTCCCCCGTCGCAAGATGTTTTCTAACGGTGAATAGTCTGAGTATTGCGGAGGAACCAGCCGCCTTGATCTTTTCAAGCTTTCTGCTGCTGGTGAACAGTCAACGTCGTCATCCAGTGCCTCGACAATTCAATCATCCTCAGTCGGTTCCAGCTCTGCCTCTGTTGGCGCCAGCTCAAGTGTCGCCTCTTCGAGCTCCGCAGTTCTCAGCTCCCGATCGTCCACCGCGAGTCCCAGCCCGTCATCAAGCAGCTCGGCGATCTCATCATCGTCTGTAGCGCCATCCAGCTCCCTCGTGCCATCTGTGCCGGCATCAACAACCACAAGTAGTTCCCCTTCGTCAAGTGGTAGCTCGTCGTCCTCGACCTCAGCCACGGCAACCGACGGGTACTACTATGTTGGTTGCTACAGGGACCGGCCTACCGGACACGCACTTCCTCTCCTGTTTGCCAACCAGAGCGTCACGCCTGAGCTTTGCATTGCCCACGCCAACTCGGTGTATAGCAAGGCCCCAACACCGACAACCAAGCTGCCGTACCTATTCTTGGAGTACCACCACGAGTGCTACGGCGGCTCGAGTCTCGACTTCCAGGGCGGCGTTGTCACCTCCCTTGTCGGGACCAAGGCCTGCAAGAACTACTGCTATGGCAGTGTTAGCACCTTCACCACCGACGGCACCGTCACAACCACAACAAACACGGCCAACTACTGCGGCGGGGCCAAGATGTTTGACTTATACGCTCTTTCAACACCGGTTGCACTCCCGACAACCGGCGGACCCGTTATTACCCAGACTGCCTAATCGTTGGCATAATCTCATTCAATCTTAATGGAGTAATAGTGGCTTGGAAAGGCCTTGGATAATCTCAAAAAGTCTCACTTAGCACATACCCAGGGCATACCGATAAGCGGGTGCCTTGTAGTCATTGCATATTTACATCTTCATTTCTTATTCGGTCTGCCTTTCAACTGCTGCGTGAACCGTACCCCGCTCCAATGTCTTGGCTTGACTCCGATGCCTGCTGGGCCCCGGATTCAATTGACTTTGTCCAGACGTCTGAGCGAGTCAATGAACAAGAGCCAAACACCGTCGACATCTTCTCATATGTTAGCACAGCAGTCCACCGACTGACCCGCGTGTAGCATTCGGTCCTACAGAATTCACAATGGCAGAATTGCCGATAGATTCATGAATCCCCACCTCAGATACCCGACACCCAATGGCAGCCTCCGCTCTCTGATTAGGCAGGTCGCAAGTTGCCCGCGGCGTGACTCGCCCACATGTCCGTATCGGCACCGGTCGGGTGGGCTCCGACTCCGAAACATCGATATCGGCAAATACTGGGGTTCCATGCCGTTATCTGTTGAAACCCCACAATGATTGCACGTTGGTGGAAGAGCTCCTATCTCGGCGAGCGGGGGACGGGGAAGCTCTCGAGACATTGACTGGTCAATGGAGAAGGATGCATGGAGGTGGCTATCACGCAACACAGGGATCTATGTGTGTGACTGCTTACAAAATGACGTCTCTACACTTCTTCCCGCGAGGGTTTGCGTTCTCTTTCTTCAATTCTGTGATTTGGGCCGAAGAAAGGTGACAATTTCAAACGCGGAGTTGAGTGCATTGAGTTGGAGCGCCTTCGGTCGACCACAACAGCTTCACGATGCGTTCCAACACCCTCATCAACATCTTATCCGCGGCAGCGGCCGTCGCCGCCTCCTCCGACCAACATCCTCTCACCAGCCCCTCAGCTTCCTCCTTCACTTGCGATCTCCCACCCCCGATCTCCCCCACCGACGGCCTTCCTTCCGCAAAGGAGCTCTTCACCTCCGAAGCCGCCATCCTCAAGCAAGTCTCCCGCCATGCAGCCCTCGTCCGCGTACCCTCAATCTGCTACGACGATCTCGGTGACTTTGACACCGATCCGCGCTGGAAAGTGTTCTACGAACTCCACAATGTCATGCGCAAGACCTACCCGGCGGTCCACGCGCGCTCCGAACTCGTCAAAGTAAACACTTTCGGTCTCGTCTACACCATCCCTGGCTCCTCTCCTGGCCTTAAGCCTCTCCTCCTCGCCGCCCACCAGGACGTCGTCCCCGTCGCCGACGCCTCGACATGGACCTATCCCCCGTTCGCCGCACACTTTGACGGGGAGTGGATGTGGGGTCGCGGCGTCTCAGACGACAAGAACTCCTTCACGGCCCTCCTCTCGGCGCTCGAAACCCTCCTTGCGAACCCGGACTGGGTCCCCAAGCGCACAATCATCCTCGCCTCGGGCTTCGACGAGGAGTGCTCCGGCCAGCGCGGCGCGGGCCACATCGCCAAGCACCTCGAGCAGAAATGGGGCAACAACAGCATGGCGCTAATCCTCGACGAGGGCGGCATGGGCCTGCAGCAGCTCGACTCCAAGACGCTCTACGCCCTGCCCGCCGTCATGGAAAAGGGCCACGTCGACATCTGGCTCGAGCTGCACGTCACGGGCGGCCACTCCTCTGTTCCCTTCCCCCACACGGGCATCGGCATCGTGTCGGAGATGGTCGTCGCGCTCGAGGCGCACCCCTACTCGCCCGAGCTGACGACGAAGTCGCCGCTGTACGAGCACATGGTCTGCCAGGCGCGGTACTCCCCCGACGCGCAGCCCGAGATCACGAAGCTTCTGCAAGAGGGCGATCTGCAGGCGCTCGCGGAGACGTTGGTCGAGATTGACCGCCCGACGCACTACCGCCTGCAGACCTCGCAGAGCGTGGACTATTTCCAGGCCGGGCAGAAGATCAACGCCATGCCGGAGGTCGTCAAGGTCGGCGTGAACTACCGCGTGGCGCCGCAGAACAGCATCCCCGAGATCCAGCACAATGTTGTCTCGTACATTTCTGGCATTGCGGAGAAGTACGGCGTCAAGGTTGTGGCGTTCGAGGGCGACGAGGGGTACGAGAAGTACGCTGCTGCACAGAAGAGAGATCTGGCGGGCTCTGTTGGTCTCGAGAATGGTGGTGTGGAGGTTAAGTACGAGGTGGACTACAACGGCACTTTGGTCCTGAGCTCCTCGCAGAAGACGCTCGTGGCGCCGGTGTCGCCGACCAAGGGCCCGATTTGGGACTTGTTCTCGGGAACGCTGCAGAGCTCGTTTGCGTTTGATGGGGGCAAGGTTGTGCCTGTTGGGGAGTTGATGACTGGTAACACTGATACGAGACATTATCTGAGTAAGTTTGACTTCTTGACTTCTTTCTTCCAATTTTGGTTTGGGGGACCGCCGAGGTTTTCAGACGTAAGAAGACTTTGCTGACATGTGGACTTGTGTAGACCTCACCCCTAACGTGTACCGCTTCGTGCCCATCCGTAACGGGGCCACGGTGAACGCGCATACGATTGATGAGAGGATCCAGATTTCTGCGCATATGGAGATTTTGAGGTTTTATTACGATTTGATTCGCAACTTTGATGCTGCGGAAGTTTAAACCACCTGTAGGAGGATACATGCGGTTGAATCTGGTTCAGACATCGAGGGAGGCATCTGATGTTTCTTCAATCTGAGGATGGATGTGATGTCGTTTTGAGGGCGGTTGTTTATGATCGATCTCTAGAAGGGTGGAGTAAATGATGATGGTAGGCTAGAGATAATAATGAAGCGACTTTCTTTTCTTCGCTGGTGACAATGATAGAGTGACAATATGCATTGAGTTGAATGACTGAGTTCTAAATGAGCAAGTATGCATACACTCCTCAAAGTGTCGGTCCAGTAAAGACCTTGAGGCTCGCAATGAGACGGGTGGACTATCAACCTGGCTTGGGATTATATTCATCATATTTCCATGAAATCTGTTCCTTTTGTTTCGAATGAATACCACCACTTATCCTAACCGCACCGTACTCGAACGTGAGTGAAATTGAGGATACGGTGGTATTCAGGATATCAGACAAGCGTCAGGGGGCTGTCGCGCCCATGGCGCAACTTTTGTTTTGGCGGTTGGTGGCACACAGACACAGGTATTGCCTCCCTCTGGAGGGGTTAAGATTGCTGTGAAAGGTATACCGCGAGCGGATTTATTATGGCCCAGTACAAAGAGCCTCCAGCCGCACCAACTTCGGCCGAAACCAATAAAACGTCGTTGCTGTGTTGGCAGTGCATATCTTGGCGTACCACTGCATGTGGTCAAATGGATAAATGGATGTATGTAATGATTCCCTCTGTAGGGGTTAAAATTGCAGTGAGTCTTCCACTATGAAGTCTCATAGCCCGCTAATGCAAACATGTCTCCTTCAAGGAAACCAATACTAACTGTTCAACGGCGGTTACCTGCCAGGCCTCCTGAGAATGCGCGTATTCAAGCCATTATGAGGTAAGCGTGCCTCAATGAGAGACAGGCGCGTCAGGGTTCTCTAGCGTGGGATATTTGACTGATTTCGAACTAATCATATTCCTCTATTACCGTGGCTGCTTTTGGAAAGACCCTCCATCAGCTAGGCATTGAAACATGGTCGTCTTGATAATTGTGCCACATCATCTTTGAATTCGAAGTACTCGGTAATCGCCACCCGAGTCTTCTTCCTCAGGGTCACCTCTATGCTAGAAACATGTGCAAGTCCTGCCAGGCTTTAGGCTATTGAGTTCAGCCCAGGTCAATGAGATACCATACGAACCCGCGCCGTGTATATCTTGGCAATCTAAGGTAGAGGGTGCTAAATCAAAACATTTATTGGCACTTTCTGAGAGGCTAAAATTGCTGTGGGTGACCCTCAATCGGAAGAATCTTAGGTATGCATCACGATATGAGTATAGATCCGAGGCACCACCCGGGCACGTTACCGTCCGATATGCTTACAGCGCATTTTTAGGCGGTTAAGGTTATGGTGTACGAGAATATGTTGATACCCTCTGGGGGGGAGGGGGGGTTAAAACTGCAGTGAACCCCCCTCTTCAGAATGAACCCAGTCTCTNTGGGGGGGAGGGGGGGTTAAAACTGCAGTGAACCCCCCTCTTCAGAATGAACCCAGTCTCTGCATTAGCTATCTGCATCAGAGCTCAAAAAGGACAAGGCAGGTGGTGATCCCGCACCTCTACACCCACTTCGACGCTTCTCTCAACGCCCATCTCTTCAAACGCGTATGCTTAAGCCTAGGTCATCATGAGGTGGAGTGCTTCGTCTCTGATCAAGCGTCACATAGCTGTTCCCTCAGGAAAGTCGGCGTTGGCATTACGCTACCAGTGTTGGCGGTGAAAATGTGAGATGCCACCCACGAGCGTAATAACGCCATACTTTTCTCTTATGCGATATAGAAAGGCCTGACATGCCTTGCAGTAAGTGGAGTCACGAGGAACATTTAAGCAAAAACAGGCACCAGCCTAGTTGTCTGAACATGAACCACGACCAACAGGACACTTTCAGTCAATTAGTTTGCTCCTTATATTGCAGTTATAATATCGGCTTTATGCAAGTAACCGAAAAGAGACCCATTTAAAACTAAGGTAATTCAATCTCAACTCATCACGTTCCCCTCACCAAACCAATCGATCCTCGCCAACCGCGCCTGACCTCGCCTCTGCGTCGACACCAATCAATTATCATCGTATTATTCTATGCGTTTGAGAAACCTTTAAGCCTCTTCATCAGTGTAAGCTTGTTCTCACTACGTCGTCGCGAAAATGTACTCAACGCGCGAAGAGATCAAGACTGCGGTTGATGTGTATCGCGGACACATAGCCGAACGCAATCGCCGTGCCCTTGAAGTCTACGGTGCGTGGACATCGAGGATTTTCTTCGTGAAGTCAAACTGATCCAAATATCTAGTGCAAGTTGCCACAGAAGCTGAGCTGGACCCGGAAGATTGGGGAGATGTAGCCGAAGACATGAGGATAGACTGTTTTGCGAGCGTTCTGGGTCGGAGTGATGCCCGGACCTTGATATCAAGCCCAAAGGATATACTAACAAAGTTCGACGAACTCGCACCGCTTTGCGATCTTGACGGGTGCGGATGGTCTCTTCCGACCAGCGATGAGCGAGAGCTGTATTTCTCCCGTCTGGAAAGCGCTCTGAAGGCAAAATGTCTCGAGGATGTTCGCGATACCATAACTGCTCCGCCTGAGCTTCGAATTCTCGCGGAGTACGTGGGTGCATTGACTGGACCCGGGATGGGAGAGACCAAGTGGACGTATCAGGCCATGTTCTGGACCGGGGCGGGCGGTGAGACGGATGATTTGATCGATGCTACGGTCAAGAAACCTCACGAGCTTACAGTTGATGGTTGCTGGGAAGTCGCTGCTGGATGGGAATCCGGGCATGGCGTTGAGAGTTTCTTTTACGTAGTCCACTGCCGAAGGAACCGGCCCGACGGAGAGGTTGAGCCGTGGGCCTGGCGGTACATGGCATATGGCCCGGACGACTACAAAACTTTTGATACGATTCCGGAGTTGCTTGAGTGGTATTGTCGATATCGGGAAAGAGAGGTGCCTAACATTGAGGACTTGGACGCGGATGAGGTACTGGAAGGGCACATGTACTAACTGGAATACACACTCCATCGAAGATACATGTATACCGTACTCATCTCCTCTGGTGTAATAACGATCTTCGATGAACTCTCGGCATCATCGAACAAACCCCCCACGCGCATTCACGTGAGCAAAGGCTCCTGCGGCCGAGGACCGTCTCGGCCACCGATGGACCCCGAGAACCGCTGGGCGATGCCCCGTTCCTGACTTCCTAGACAGCAGCAAGGAGGACAAAATGGCTGACTAGGAGGGCCGTACCAACATGTTATTCGTCAATCAGCAGATGAAGCGGAGATCATGTGGTGGGAGGAGGGGGTGTTTGCGTCGGTCGGTGGCGACGGACACGCACAGGATGGCGCGGGATGTAGTGGCCGGGGGTGGGACGCCGAGCCCGGCTTTCTGGGCCGTGATTTGCGGGTTTCGGCACCTTCAACAGCCCATGTGTATTACTGTTTGGTACCTGTACCACGGCAGGTCGCGAGAACCCGCTATCTGAGCATGCTTGTCTCTTGTGAAATTGGCGAAGAATGAGGGAGTACCGGATGACAGATGACATCTCCAATTCCATGATTCGATGACCGATCTTGTGGAGCGGTAAATCAAAGGCTTCCTCAAAGCCCGGGCGCTGGAAAAAGCGTGGGGGTCGCAGTCCGGGGAAGTTAGGCTACTGTTGGCCGCTCACCGCATTGAACAAAGCACAGTCGTGCTAGGCCCAAGACTACTGAAACTAAAATTGGCCAAAAAACATCAGAGTGGCATTGTTTGTGCCAATCATTTGGTCTAAACAGGCTCCGTTTGGTGGTTTGTCTTGTCTTGCTGGCAGGCCTGAGCGTTGGAGCTGAACTCCGCGGCTCCGAAATGTCTTCCGGCCGGCGGTTAACCCGGTCACTCATATGTGTCCTCAGCTACCAGAGTTCGGGAGGATTGATCATCTCAGGCGCTGACAAGGAAAGCCCAGCTGGACACAAGTTGTCCTATGTCACTTGGAGAAGCCATTTGGTGAGATTGCCGCTCGACAAGCACCACTTACATCAGACTAGTTTGCTTGATGCCCGGGACAAGTATCCCCGAAAGTACCACAAGCCAGTTCTCTCACAGACGATCTCTCCCCCTCGTGATGTCGTACCATGCGCAAATCGCCATGCAATCAGCTCACCGCACACCTGGTACCCTTCCACACCATCCCGGTTGTGCATCCATGATCCACGCATCCAACCACTTAATTGAATGCGGCAGGACAAGGCGTGGATGAGTAGCCACCCCCACGCCGCGGCGCTGCCGCCCAGCCGTGCGTTGCGCCAAGTTTGGCAAAGCCGTATGTCGAACATCATGGGATCCCTGGCCATGGCTTGCACCATTGTGTTTATTCCTTAAACAGGATTCTTGTGACCCTGGCTCGGAGTCTTGATTCGTCGCTGGCAGCCCCTGAGTGCTGGTCGAAGACGTACCTCGACTAACGACACACTTCACTCGCCGTACATCACCTCATGGCCGCTTGCTGGCCCCCGAAAGACTCATCTTATACAGTTTCCTCGACCATAAAAGCCGATTCCCCCAGACTTGTGTATGTCTGGTAGAACTGTGGTCAGCAACCTCAAAGTCTCGTCCGCCTACAAAGCTCATCCATACGAAGAGACACAGTCTCATCATCAAACTCACACCATTCTTTTCACGAGAATGTCAACGGAAACGATGGCCACGACGCCAACTACAACAACCTCTTACGGAGCGCCCAAAGCGATGAGCTCGAGGCTTCCCGACGGCGTCTACGTGCCAACCCTCGCGTTCTTCACTGACAACGAGGAAATTGACACAAGCACCCTCGAGCGCCACCTTGTCCGGCTCATCAACGCCGGCGTGGCAGGCATCGTCGTCCACGGCTCCAACGGCGAAGCCGTCCATCTCACACGCGACGAGCGCAGCGCCATGATCCGCTGCGCAGCCGACACCATCCACCAAGAAGGCCACGACGTCAAGATCCCGCTCATCGCCGGCTGCGGCGCCCAGTCGACCCGCGAGACCCTCCAGCTCTGCAGAGACGCCCACAAAAGCGGCGCAACCCACGCCCTCGCGCTGCCGCCCAGCTACTACGGCACCCTCCTCGACGACGACAAGATCGTCCAGCACTTCTACGAGGTCGCAGACGCGTCGCCGATCCCGCTGCTCATCTACAACTTCCCCGCCGCCGCCTCCGGTCGCGACCTGTCCTCGGACGCCATCGTGCGCATCGCGCAGCACCCCAACGTGGTCGGCGTCAAACTCACCTGCGGCAACACGGGAAAGCTCGCGCGCGTGGCGGACGACGCGCCGGAGGGGTTCTTCGTCGCGGGCGGCAGCGCGGACTTCATCCTGCAGGGCCAGGTCGTGGGCGCCAACGGAACGATCGCGGGGCTGGCCAACATCGCGCCGCGAGCGTGTGCGCGCGTCATGGAGCTCGCGGCAGCCGGCCGGCTCGCCGAGGCGCGGCGACTGCAGGCGGTCGTGGCGAAGGGGGACTGGGTGGCCATCCAGACGGGGTTTGTGGGTGTCAAGGCGGCGATCGGGCACTTTGAGCAGTACGGGGGCGCGCCGCGGAAGCCCTGCGTTGGGCCCTCAGATCAGGAGATGAAAGGTATTGTGGAGGGGCTGAGCGAGCTGCGAAGAGTTGAGGCGGAATTGGAGGAGGAGGCGGCGAGAGCGGATGCCGCGCGGTGATTGATGGGTTGAGTTTCTACGGCTGACGTATCTCATAGCGTCGGTTTTAAGGATTGACGCGCGCGGGATGGTATGGGAAGGGTGAGGGCTGGGAGGAAGGGGACGGGAGGCGAAAAGTGACAGCTGAGATGTGGTAGGTGAGAGGTTGTCTTTCATGGGAATGGTTGCATGGTGTGGAGATGGGTTGATGAATGTGATGGGCCATTGGAGAGGAGGGGAAATCCGGATTGAAGGGAGAGCTGCTTGATTGCGACATGAAGGAGGGGTGCTTGGGCATCGGGCAACGATGTGGCCAAGGTCGTCATACCGGACATGACGGCAAGGCAGAATGGAGGGGCTGTTGAATGGACGGATTCTATGCATTGTGTTCACGGGAAAAACACCCAGACCAGCTGGGCTGGTTTGCGATTTCTACGATTGGCTTAGGTATGAGCTTTCATGATGGTTGCTGTGGAGGAGGGTAGAGAGCTGAGTCCGACCATCAGCTTCATACTCAGACTGGCTGAAGGTTGTGAAAGTGGTGTGAGAAATGCATCTATCTTCTCATTACATTGGACCAACGCCAAGCATACCTTCAAACCTGTGAATGGATAACCGCCATCCGCCGGCGATGTCTACCCAAGCACTCGTGGATGGCTCGGTAGCCCTGTTGAAGCTCTTGAGTGTGAATGGAAGTTCTTCAAACAACGGCCACCAAGCCCCCCACGTCGCCGGTCTCGCCGACGAACTGATGCGGCATCAGTGTTGCCGTATACTCACATGTGTGGTAGGTAGTCTGTAATACCATAATCGCCAGTTGGAGTGTGCTGGCTCCGAGGTCAAAGTACATCCCGCGCAGACTCGTTGAATGTTGGCTGCCTGGGCCGATCAGCAGCGCGGAGGGTGGCCAAAAGAGTAAAGCTGAACAGATCTGGTCACTGTGAATACATCTCTACATGCATTGGGGTTGAATCGCCACTTTGTCTAGATGAAATACCACGTCAGGGTCCGAGGAGGGATGATCACCAGTGGGATCTTTCTAGAAGGTGACAGACATAGATAGGCTCAACAGGGCACGTTCATCCACAGAAGATCAGCAATGGGCGTTGTGAACTTGGCACACTGTCAAACCCCGGACCCCAGATGACGATCATTCCCGTCAAACCCCGGCGGCCGGAAGCCTGAAATATGGCATGTCGGATGCAGGGCTCATGCAGTGAGGAAAAGGGTAGCAGCTACCAATCTCAGGCTTTGCTTTACGTGATGGAGACCACACCACTACAAGCTGATCCGTTGACGTGGTGTGTGCTCTGCGGTACAGCGTGTACGCGTACCTATCAGTTCTACCATTTGGTGATCAAGACGTAAAGATCAACGACTGTGGGGGAAAGTGTTCCCCCAAATGCACCCCGCATTCACTGCCCGAAGGATTTTGCGATTTTCCAACAGGACTCTAGAATAATGTAGTTCTTGGTTGGAAGCGACAGCATGTGAAAGTCCTGGACGAAAAGTCATTGAAAAGACTATTGGATTCATGTTCTTGCCAGCGGCCAATTAGGAGAATGTGAAGCCTTAACTGTGGTCAAATTATTTGAGCAGTCTGGCAAACAGCATTGTGAGCTGTTTGCCGAGCTCTGTCTACTGTTCAGATAGTTTCATCACAGACTCAAAGCCATGCTGCACGAAACTCAGACATTAGAGCATCATCAAGTCGAGTGCACCGAATGGAACTAATTTTCCCCCAAAGAAAAGCTAAGACCAATTTGTTGTTATCTTGCCCGGGTAAAGCAGATGTTGAAGGGTAGAGCATACACGAGCTTTCGCCTGTTAGCAGCGCTCTTTTGCGGTTTCCGCTGTGAAACTTCCAGCGCGTACAAGGGTGACTAAGCGCTGTCAACGAGTCCCCGGCAAATTCATGCAGACCAACTCCTCACCTACTGACTAGTTTCCATGCACACGATGCCAACTGTTTTGAGATGCCATCCGAGCCCGCAAAGAGAATATCGTGGGTTGAACTCCCGCTAATGTCGTTGGAACGAAACGCTGACACAATTTCAGTTGCAAGAGATGCCAGTACCGAAAGGTGCCCGAAGATCCTGGGATTGCTTCCAGGGGCCGATCTCGCTGACTTCGGCTGCCATAGTTGAAATGCTCCCGCACTGAGCCATGCCAGAATTGCGCCACCGCAAAGCAGACATGCGAATACCGCGAGGTCGACCGCAAAAGACGGCCCGCTACGCATGAGTACGTTGTTAGTTTGGAAAATCGAGTCGCTTCACTGGAATCGTTCATCCGCAGTCTACAGACAGCGCCGCACAAGGAGCGAGACGAGATGTTGCGGACAGTCTCCTTCGGGGATCACCTCCAGGCTGGCGGCTCTCGTACAGTTGAAAGCACACAGACAACTCAGCGCAAATCAGAAGATGAAGGTCGGCGCAGCACCGCACACCTCCAGGTCGACCTCGAGGGCTCGCTGATCTACCACGGGGCGACAAGCATCTATCGAGCCAACGCTTATCGCCCAACGACCAGGAATACGCTCGGCGCTTTGTCATTACAATCATCACCAAATCTTGCATCCGAGTCGACTTTCGAACATGTCGCAGAGCATTTCGGTATCAATCTTCAAGATGAATTGGTTTCGGACGCGTTACTACAGTTCTTCAAGTGGCAGTACCCTCATTTCATGTTCATCTACCGTGAGGCATTCCTCAGGGACCATTTCGGCGAGAGATCCAACTGCAAATACTGGTCATCGGCATTACTTCTATCTATATGTGCACTGGGAACGCTGATGTCACCAGATAAACGACACCGGCAAGCAAGCGAGCAGTTCTTTTCCGCGGCAGAGAGCATTCTCATCGTATCTGGCTTCACCAAGCCGTCAATTGTCACAGTTCAAGGCTTCCTGTGCCTAGCGTTCTATGAAATCGGAAGAGGGAATCTCTCCAAGGGGTGGGGGTTCTCAGGTGAATCAAGAAAATCCTGAAGCGGTCCAATCGCTGGTGGGCTGACAGCATTGGCAGGAATTGCCTTTCGAATGGCGCAAGATCTCGGCTTCCGGTCTTTTTCAGACGTTTGATGTCGCTGGTAGCAAGGGCTACGTCGATTAGGTAGGGGGTGTATATGAGATTCATCTTGGAGGGCTTTAAATTTGGGCTATGGTGTGATGGGGGGCCGCTTCTGCTTGGCCAGGCGGCTCAAAAATCCCCTTCATATACCCCATAGGTTAGCCATAGAGGTTACGCTGTGACCCTCCACATGTTTCCCCGTCAGAGTCATACGGCAGTCAACAAGGTGCGCCTCCAGGCGGCAAACTGCGAAGAAGAAAAGTTAGAAGGGAAGAAAGATCTCGGCTTCCAGAGAGACCCAAAGCACTGGATCTCTCATGATTCTTCACTGGTTACGGAGGAAGACATGGAGATTCGCAGGCGCATATTCTGGGGGTGCTACACATCCGACAAACTCATCAGCTTGATTCTCGGGAGGCCGGTGTACCTCTTCTACGACGATGCCGAGGTCGAGACGACCGAGAGACTTCCGTAAGACACATCAACTGGGAGATGGATGCTGCAATACTAACGTCGTTGAGGGACTTTCCAGAAATGGCACCGTGGCTTCCCGCCGGCGTTGCCGCCTACGACGGCCGGTTCGCGGATATCAATCCACTTCCGCTTGTGCCCTGTTTCAAGGAACAAATCCGCCTCTCCAAAATCATTGAGAAAATGCTGTCGAAGCTGTTCTCGACTAAGTCAAATTTAGAGGGCCTTGGGAGGCAGGCATGTCTTGACAGTCTGAACTTTGAGCTATGCAGCTGGTATGAAGCCTTGCCAGAGTGCGCGAAATGGAACAAGTGGGAACCTCCAAGCACTCCTTTGATTCCCAGTGTGGCCGCGCTCCAGTGAGTTCCCTTGATTTCTGAGAATCGTTCCTTCTTGAAGATGACTCACACAAGCGGCTTTCAGTTTGCTGTTCCAAAGCGTACGGATTGCTCTCAACTTTGATCACGCGGCGTCGGGTCACAGCGGAGCCATGATCGACAACGCACGCAAAGACTGCGTCTCTTCCGCGCAGGATATTACGCATATTTCGCGAAAGTATCGGAGCCAATATGGACTTCTACACAGCCCGCTGATCATGATTTATGCAATCATGCAAGCGGCTAGAAGTTTGGCATTGTTTGGGACGGCTGAGGAGGCACAGTACCTAGTTCATTCCTTGGATGAATGCTGTGCTGCTTGGGACTTGGCCCAGCAAGCGAGGAACAGATTGGCACAAATATGAGGTTAATCAAATACCCTCGATTTATCGACACATAAACCTTTCTTATGCCAAAATGGAGAATCGATCGCTATCTTGAATGGTTCAAACCTATCTGCAAGACTCTTACGCCGGGAGACCTGACTCAACGCCCGTCTTCAGTACGCTAATCAGTTTCTGAACATCTGATGAGTTATTGTAAAATCCAAATGACACTCTAATACCCAAACGATACGGTGTAACATGTATTCCATGATCCTTCAGAAGGTCCATCCACCGCGGGTCATGCAGGTCAAGGATGTACAGGTGAGGTGCATGCTCCTTGCGGCTGGTGGGCCCGACAATCTTCACCCCAATTTCCTTACATCCTTCACGCAAGACATCCCCGAGGCTGTAAAGATGTTCTTGAACGCGCTTCGGGCCCATGGAGTCGAGGTAAAACTTCATGAACGCCTTGGCAGTCGCCGCAGCAACCAAGCTCAGGTTCAAGTGTTCGTACCTACGGGCAGTGGGGTGGTACACCAGAGACTCGCTGGAAACCAGCAGGTCAGCTCGGACGTTACTGACAGCTCCATACCCGACAATCGGCGGCGTCGGTTCCATCTCTGCAATCACTGCCGGATCAACGTAGAACGCCGCGAAGCCCGTGGGGTTGTTGAGGCCCTTGTGCAGACTGAACGCCGCCGCAGAAACACCCAAAGCCTTGACGTCGACTTCAGCGAAACCGACCTGCTGCGTTAGATCGGCGAGGACGTGGATGCCGCGAGGCCTGTAGGCCTTGCAGATATCAGTGACGTCGTTCCACTGGCCACTGTGGAACATGATAGAGCTAATCCCAATGGCGTGTGTGCGCTCGTCCACGTACGGCGCGAATGTCGCCGCGTTGGCTGCAGTGACCTTGCCGCTCCTCTCTGCCTCGGGTATCGTGGGCACCTGTCTGACTTCGAGGCCGGCGGTGCGCAGGGCCATCCAGCCGTAGACGTGGTTCGGGTGCTCCGAGTCTAGCACGACAACATTGTCGCCAGGGTTGAACTTGAGACTGCGGGCGAAAGAGTTCAGGCCCTCGGTAGTGTCACGGGTGAAGGCGATGGAGGCGGGGTCGGCGTTGATGTAGCGGCCGACTAGTTCGCGGGTCTCCTCGACGGCAGATTGCCATTGGGGCTTGGGGTGGGCGGAGTAGAGGCCCTCAGAAGAAAACTTGGTGATGGCGCCGTGGATGATGAGGTTTGATGGGGGCTGGTAGGAAGCGTTCAGGTATGTGATCGTGTCGTCTGCTACCAGGGGCACGAGGGACCGAAAGGTAGAGAAGTCGGCCTCCGTTGAGGGGGTTTGGAGGGGTTTGGCCAACACCGGACCATCATCGGTATGGTTGTCGACTGCACTTGGAGACATTTTGAGGAAAATAGAAAAAATATGAAGGGGTTTCTCTGAGATATTTGGGGATCTGGTGTCTTCTGCTCAGATGGTCTTCTACTCACGGCTACAAAGCCGGCTTCATCTCTCCTTTATCATCAATTTCGTGTCCTCCTATATCGGCGCAACTACACGCACTAATTCGGAAAACATAAAGCATCGTCATGCAGATACCCCGCGCGTGATCTTTCGCCGTTCTGGATCACGCAGGCAATGGAGGCTCAAGTCCGTTGTTGGTGATGTCGCATCACCCTGGACGCGCGGAAGTCAGAAGTGGGTCGGACGGTAAAGTGTCTGGGCTGATAGACGCTGATTTAGGCACTTTTATCTAAGAGAAATGACTTGATACGTGCAAGATTAACATACTAGCTTTGGGTATTTCCCGGCTGTCACTGCATTCAACTAAATTCATCTGAAGTTGTGACAGGGATATCCAGATCAACTGCGATACTGGAGACGGACTTCGACCTCCATTTGCGGGTCCGGGGTTGATAAGAAGTCGCTGCCCCGCATGTTGGCGCGCAGCTCATCCCATAATGGCTGAGTCTTAGTCTCGTGGTCTATCTACATGGTGGAGACCGAGACTTCCCCGGATTTTGTCTCCGAAGCGTTGGGCCATTGATCATTTCCTAGCTATCGACGTCTTTGGACCTCAGAACGAGATAAGCCAGATAGTATGAAAGTTCACATCGACTCGACTCTGCATAGGCTTTGTATAAGAACCACGGCCAGGGCATGATCGCATCCAAGTTTTCAGATATTGTCTTTTCCGTGCCACGTTCCCCGTTTGTTTTCTTTTTGCCATCTTCACCATGAGCTCAGAAAACGTCGCCAAGTTTGGCAAGAGCGTCAATGATGCTGAGAGAGACCCATCGAACCTGGAGACGTCAATGTCCAATGCGGAAGGCTCCTCTGCGGAGACGGGCCAACTAAAAAGGGAGTTCAAAGAGCGGCATGTCTCCATGATCGCGGTCGCTGGCGCCATCGGTACCGGCCTCATCATTGGGTCGGGAACTGGTCTCGTCAGGGGCGGGCCCGCAAGTCTACTGATTGCGTATACCATCATTGGGGCCGTGGTCTTCTTCATCATGACGGCCGTTGGCGAGATGGCCACTATGTTGCCATCTGACAAGGGATTTGCTGGATACGCTACCCGGTTTGTTGACCCGGCTCTTGGGTAGGTCATCTCTTGCTATAGTATCTGTATGCGTTATGAACTGACTTTGATGCGTGTTAAGGTATGCAACGGGATGGAACTACTTTTTGAAATACGCCATCGTTCTACCAAACAACCTCACAGCGGCTGGCATCATTATTCAATACTGGCGACCTGATCTCAACGTTGCAATCTTCGTGACAACTTTCACTGTTGCTATTATTGCGGTCAATGTAGGTGTTTGCTATCCATTGTTCCTCTATAGAGCCATATTGACTTGGTCCGCAGGTCCTCCATGTCTCCTTCTTTGGCGAAGCGGAATTCTGGATGTCAACAGTCAAACTACTCGTCATCATCATGCTCGTCCTCACCTGCTTCATCATCTCCATGGGCGGCCAACCTTCCGGCGAAGTAATCGGCTTCAAATACTGGCACAACCCGGGCGCCTTTGGATCCTACCTCGTCGAAGGTCCCACAGGTCGCTTCCTCGGCTTCTGGGCGGCCATGGTCCAAGCCTGTTTCGCATACACGGGAACGGAAGTAGTCGGCGTCGCATTCGGCGAGGCTCCGAACCCACGAAAGACCATCCGCAAAGCCGTTCGGCAAACACTCTGGCGCATCGTCTTTTTCTACATCATCGGCGCCCTCGTGCTGGGCATGTCGGTCCCATTCACCAACGACCTGCTCATCGGCGGCACGAAGAAGAGCACCGGCGCGGCTGCGAGTCCTTTCGTGATCGCGGTGCAGCTCGCCAACATCCCCGTCTTTCCTCACGTCGTCAACGGGTGTCTGCTCATCTTCGTCATCAGCGCGGCCAACTCGGATATCTACATCGGATCCCGCACCCTGTACGGACTTGCTCGCGACGGCCAGGCCCCTAGGATTTTCACAAAGACGACAGGAGCCGGAGTTCCCATCATCGGTGTCGCGGCCACAAGTATCTTCGCCGCGCTCGCGTACATGAACGCGGCCAAGAGCTCCTCCCAGGTATTCGGATATCTCGTCAGCTTGGTGACTGTCTTCGGCACTCTGAACTGGGTCAGTATTCTTGTCAGCTACATCCAGTTCACGAGGGGCATGCAGGCCCAGGGCATTCCCAGGAGTATCATGCCTTACCGAGGACCGTTCCAGCCTTACGGTTCTTATGCTGCTCTCCTCATAACGGTCCTCGTTGTCTTCTTCAATGGTAAGTAAGCTCCCTAGGCCTGTCGAATGTGGGTTAAATTGACGCGAATCTGCCAGGATACAACGCCTTCATTCCGAAGTTTACTGTGTCCACCTTCATGACCTCTTACATCGGAATCGCCATCTACGTTGTCAACATCATCAGCTACAAGCTGTACGCGAAAACCAAGAAGGTCAGCCTCGGCACAATGGACCTACAGACCAACAGGCTTGAAGACGATGGGGCCAAGTATCCGAGCTCATTGGAAAAGGCCGCTTCGTGGGTGATGCAGATCACAAAGCGGTAGCGAAATATCTAAGGAACTTTACATGTAAATATTGTGGTATTAAGAGACTTTTCTGTCGATTACAGCAAGAATCATCACATCGAGTGGTATCATGAATGCACGCTCTCCCTAACCAAAAATGACGGTTCAAGACCAAGATCGAGGCATTTGGTGTTCATCACATGAACATCTCTCTCGGGCCAAGGGTCGTGTTGGTGCCCCCGATTTCTTGCTTGCGTACATCCTTCAGTCCTCGGACCTGACTTGAACTTTTCATAGGCTCTGAGTCTAGGCAACCGTCTTCTCGCCCTTCACGGCAACACCCTCAGACGGGATATCGCTGTCGTGGGCGTTTTCAACACTCTCGCCCTTCTTGAGGCCGAGCTGGCGCGTGTCGTAGCCGTTCGCCTCCAAGTAGGCGCGGAAGCGAGCGTCCTCGAGGGCGATGGTGTCTTGGCCGATGTGGGGCAAGCAGAAGAGGGCGAGGGCAGCAGACAGGACGCAGAGAGACGAAGAGACCCAGAAGGGATACTGCGCAGTCGCGACCGCGTTGTCGCCGGCAGCGGCTTGGATGTAGGGGAAGACTGCCGTTTGAGTCAGTACATACATCTGAGACGATGCTGACGGCAGATATCACTCACCCCAGGTGCCCACGAAGGCGCCGATTTTGCCTATAGCAGCGGCGATGCCGTAGTACTTGCCTGCTCAGCTGTCAGTATGTCTTGATCAAGCATTGACGCAGCCATTGCTCGGTGTTCACTCACCGCGAATGCCAGTTGCACAGGTCTTGGCCGCCAAGAGACCAATGTTGTTGCCGGGGCCGAACTCTCCAAGAGCGAGGAACACGCCGTAGACGACGACGAACCCGCCGACCATGCCGGGCTGGGACAGGTTGAAGTAGTCACCAGCCATGATGAAACCCACGATGGCCTGGAGAAACACGCCCAAAGCGAGGGCGTATCGGGGGCCGAGCCAGTCTGAGGCAGGAGCACCGAGCATGGTGC